CCCCCCCACAGCATGACTCTGCACAGGGGATACTCAAGAAAAGGGGTTGCTCTCTGCATCACAGTCAGCATCAACCACAAACAGCAGAAATCTTGTGTGTAAAAAAATACCTCTGTATTTAGGGTGAAAAACAGCTGGGGAACCAAGTGAAATAACAGGAGTTCTCTCTCTTCCTCCCGTCTTATTAAAGCGGATTATTATTATTATTATTATTATTATTATTATTATCATCTGGCTCGGGGAATCTCTGTTGTTTTTACTCATTCAGATCTGAGGAAAATGATAGGTTTCTTTAGCAATATGGACTGAGATAACCTGTGTGCTCTGGCAGGAAGAGACTATGTATAGAATTGTTTTTCCAGCCATATGGAGATGCATGGGGAACTATCCAGTTAGGAGGCCGCCCAACCCACAGCTGCCCCCCTCCTCCCTCCCCAGCCCACCTCAGCCCACCTCAACATACCTGCGACTGTCCCAGCTCCGCCATCCTTCAGGGCAGCCAGCTCAGCTGGGAACTTCCCGGGGCTTCCTAGAGCTACACAAATATTCACAACATTTGTATTGTTTTGCATTATCAGCGTCACTTAAAAGAAAGGAGAATTGATGTCATTGCTAAATTAGAAAGCGATTATCGAGCCCCTACGACACAATCCATTATGCTCTAGGTTTGCCCGTTTCTTTCTTTCTTTTTTTTAAATAATAATAATAATACTACTAATAATAATAAAAACGCTCCCCCTCCCCCCTCTGTGTATGTGGAGCGCAGACCTACAGCAAAGAAAGCAACTGCGCTAGGGTGGATCTCCAGATTGGAGGAGTTTTGCACCATCCTGGCCCCTTTTAATTATGAGAAACGAAAACGTAGGGCGGCAGTTCAGAACCAACATGATGATGTTTATTCCCCGGGTTAGAGCTGCGTGGGGTGGGGGCAGGGAGGGGGTGTAGTTTAAGTAAGTGCAGACGAAATATAAAGCGCGGGGGGTTGCAGGCCCCGCTCCTCGGCATGTGTATGTGCGCGCACACACGTGCATGCATGTGGCTGTGCACATATCCATGCACAAATACTTCCCACCCGTGCACGCACTATGCGGTGTTAGTTTCGCCACGCGGGAGCCCCAGAGCCGGTCCCGGGGGGCTCCTACAAGCGTCGCTGTCCCTATCTACACCATGGCCGCCTGAAACTTTGCCTGCCCTGGGCTGCCTCACCGGGCCTGGATCCTGGCTGTGCTGGGAGTGAGCATTGCACTTATTTCTGCACTCGGGATCTGTCCGCTCAGCTCGGGATGCAGGTGTGGTGCTGCTTGAGGACAGTTTCCTCTGAACTTCGGCTCGCCCCCTTGTCCCCCCCCCGTCCCCCCCCCCCACAAGGTGCCCGGGGGGGCGCTGCCCTCACCCCCAGTCTCACTTATTAATTGATGTATTGAAAAGAAGGATTGATTGGCACCTCCTGATAGCAATCCCAGCTTTTGCTGTGCTGCGCGCTGCCCTCCGGGCTCTGGCTCTCCCTTTAGAGAGAGAGAGAGAGAGAGAAACCCTTGAGGCTAACTGGAGGTTTTCATTTAAAGTGCCCCGGCCTCGGCTTCCCAGATTAGACACCCCCCCGCCCCCTCGCCCAGAAAGGTGCCCGGGGGGGCGCTGCCCTCACCCCCAGTCTCACTTATTAATTGATGTATTGAAAAGAAGGATTGATTGGCACCTCCTGATAGCAATCCCAGCTTTTGCTGTGCTGCGCGCTGCCCTCCGGGCTCTGGCTCTCCCTTTAGAGAGAGAGAGAGAGAGAGAAACCCTTGAGGCTAACTGGAGGTTTTCATTTAAAGTGCCCCGGCCTCGGCTTCCCAGATTAGACACATTTGCAGCACATACACACATAGTGCAAACGACAGATCCTTGCACTAGAAACCCCGAGTGGGCATAAATGTGGAGGCAGCACAAAGCGTGTCGCCAGCTGGCCGAGAGGATCTCCCTTCCTTAAACTGCAGCATAGCGAAGCGAGGGCATTTGCACGGAAAACTTCCCCATCCCGAGTATTTAAAACAACCTAGGAGAAAGGCACTTGTCCTTTGCCCGTTGTTCGGGGGGCCCGGACACAACGTGGGTGCCGGGAAGAGCCGCTGCCCCGGGGGCCGCTGCCCTGCCTGTGTCCTGGAGCCTGGCCGGTCCCTGCAAGGCAAAGTTGAGTAGAGGGAGAAGGGTAATGTGGGACTTACGGGCAGGCAGCGCGCCTGGGAGGCAGGTCGCAATCCGGCGGCTCCGGCTCAGCACGGACATACGCACATTAAAAAAAAAAAAAAAAAAAA